TTAAGTGGACCACTGCGGAGGTACCCTCTTTCCAATAAAAAAAGAATTATGAAAATCGGTTCAGAAATACCGGAGTTATCGCGTAACATACATACAAAAAAAAAATTTGAATTTCGAATTGAGAACCTCCTCCTTTTTTTGAAGTCGGTTAAAAATAAATAACTGCCACGTTACACAAGTATTAATTATTAAACGCATCTAACTAAAAGATAACGTCTAGTTAAGAACAGTATACACGGCAACATATGCTATAAACAAAGGAGTATTTTGAATGCAGTACACTTTACAAATTGAAGATTAATCTTCTTGTTCAAGAAAATTAGAAAAAATCCAATTGCCAGTCAAGTATGACTCAAAGATGAAACAAGCCTGTATTCATAGAATTATCAAGTAACATATTATTTAACATGAAATCGGCTGTTGCGAATGTCACGAAAGACGCGATCAGTGAAATCGTGTATTTATACCCTTTTCTATCCATACAAGCAAGTACACGATCTTCGTGTCATTATTGCGTCTGCAATTGACATAACTTGACTTATTTCATGTCTATAGATAAATCTTATATCAAATCGGTATTAAGCATAGATTTAGTATATGGTATTAAGTATTTGCTTTTGTTAATAATGGGTTGGTCAAAAAAGTCTATGCGGTTTTGCTACTAGCTGACTTAGAAAAAAACTTTAAAAAAAAAATTATGTTGCCTATGGTCATGTCAATAATAATATTTTAGGGTTTCTTTTTTAAATTACATTTACAACTCTGTAATAATTATAATACCTAATTCACGTTTAGAGGCTGATGGCTTAGCCAAAATTTTACGTTTAATTCATGAAAAACGGCCAGAACCTGTTAATCGTAAAAGTGTCGTATTTCATGTCGATAATGCTAAGCACATCTTTATAAAGCCGTCAAAAACTATAGCATTTAGGTTGGGATGTGTTACTTCATCCATGATCCACCGTATTCGCCCGACATAGCCCTATCAGATTTTCACTTGTTTCGGTTTTTACAAAATTCTTTGAATGGATACGACTGAAGAGACCATCAAACGAGCTGTATTTTGTAAGTAAATACAGGAATATTTTTTAAAGGGGAGATCTAATATAACCCGAAAGATGACTAGATATTGTTAGACCATAAAGTTTATATTACAGTCAAGTTCTTATTGCAAACGGCATACAGTTAAGCTTCAATCAAGTCTCCAGTTTGACATTTTCTTGATCATGTATGTACATAAGTAGAAAATTAACATTAAGATACCTGTTTGACTGTTGCAGTAGACATATAAACTAATAAATCGCCTGATGGACAGTTGTAGGTTACACATTGTACATAGCCGTTGCCGACATACGATGCGCAAGCGCAAATCGGAATGAATATGCAAAAACACGAATTCTTTCCGTTAAAACTTGGCAATAATGTTTAGGTTTATAGACAAGCATCTTTAATATAAGTCTGTTAAGAATCACAACGGTATTTTTTTTTTCTAATCTTCTTGGTATAGAAATCGTTGAAACGGTTGTATAAGGAGCCAACTGCAACATACAACATAATTGACCATGATGACCCAATAATTAGCACTACGGGCGCATCACGAGTAGGTCCTGGAATCGATTCCCGATAGAGCAAATCTAGGAACCGAACTTGGTTCTGGTCTCAGTGTTTTAGGTAACTCTGGATCTCAGTACAGGGTCTCTAGTGTGAGATCAGGTCATTGGTGTGATTGTCTGCATATTAATTTTTTAATATAACGCCATCGTTTCACCATCGTTTAGTAGCAGTAGAGCTCCTTGTGAGAGAGTTGGTTCGGGGAAGTACTGCCACCTTACCAATTTCTGCCGCTAAGCAGTAATGTCAGCATTACTGTGTTCTGGTTTTGAAGGGTAAGTGTGCTGGTGAAATTACAGGCACGTGAGACTTGTCAACTTATGTCTCAGAGTGACGGGCGCTGTGGCAGTGCCCCTCAAATTTTTGCGATTTAAAGTTCTGAGGGACAATGCAACATGTAGCTTACCATAAGGCGCACGACTTGTCCGTCCTGTCACTTGATATTATTATTTAAAAAAGTCGTTTAACGAGTGTCGAGCAGGCAAGAAATATGTAAATATAATTAATATACTGTAAAACAAAACAGATACCGTAAAGTTGGTTGCCAGTTCTCTCTTAAGTGTGAACACACTTCAATCCCATATTAATAGAGAGCTTCTTTTGTCCGGTTGAGAGCGAAACGATCTTAGATGATACCTACCTCAAGTTCCCATGAATTAATACACAATAAACATTGGCGTTTTGGATGATATCATCTCAAGTGACAAAGACCCTGTATTTGATTGAATAGAACTTAATAATGGTCTTGCTTTTCAGTGTTTAGTGGCTTTTATTAATTAATATATTATATTATGGCAACTCTCAAATTAGCACTCAAGTGAGATATTTAATGGGTTGCTCAAAAAATATGAGGAGAAATATGTGTACGACTTACGTTTATTTCTTTCGTGCCTTTGGGCGTAATTTGTGATTGTCTTTGTGTGTGTCCATGGCACCCGTTACACACGGCTTCCCTAGTGGGGGGGCTGTGAGTGTGTTGCGTTATTGTTGCGTTATTATTACTATTATGTGGGTGTTAAACGTTACAAAAATCGTACATTAGTGAATTATGTATTGGCCACGTGTTTTATGTATTACGACGCTCACAAACAACGCCTTTTTTAACCGACATCAAAAATAGAGGGATTCTCAATTCGTCTGTATATTCAACTAGGACAAAATATATGGCTAGTTTTCGTGAGTTCATTGGGTCCCATAATTAAAACTATAAGATATATAATAAGGGAATATCACATTAACTCTCCTCTATTGGAAATGAAACTATTTTTCCGGATTTAAATCGCATAATTATATTTGTTTCGGCCTCCATTTTGAATTCGCCATCTTGATTTTTTTTAATCCAGGCAGTTGACCAACTGCCCTATTATCTATTCCTTCGAGCACCTATCTCTAATAGTTTCCGTGACAGAAGGCTTCGAAATTTGTATGGCGGCCATCCTGTTTATTTGAATTTCGAACATTTTTTACTTCCGGCGGAAATTGGCCAGGGCATACCTCATAAAAATGCATATATATACTGCATATGTAATAAATATTCCGGATCTACCCGTTCTCCATCGGACATCTCACCGACACAATTACTGTCAAATAAGTAATACTCGACCAAATTAAGAGACGCTTGGTACGAATGAAGCTTCATACTTAACATTGTCTTTTGATTTGGTAGTGTTGTGTTTTTTTTATATAATACCATTGACGGGACAAATAAGTCCCGCGCCTGATGGTAAGCTACACTCTTGTCCATAACAGTTGCAGTGCCACTCAGAGCTTTAAATCGCAAAGATCTGAGGGGCACTACCACTGCGCCCGTCACCCTGAGACATAAAGTTGACAAGTCCCATATGCCTGTAATTTCACCAGCACCCTTACCCTTTTAAATCGGAACGTAGTAATGCTAACATTACTGCTTGGCGGCAGTACTTCCCTGGACGAACTCTTTCACAAAGAGTTCTATTGCTGATAATGTATTTGACAGTAAGGGAGATGCCACACGGGCGTTTCGTCGGCGTCGTCACAACCGCGTTGTGCTATTTCAACAGACTGAGTGCCACACGAGCTGTCCCGTGAACGCGCACCGTTTCAACGCACCGTGTGGCATGTCGTTCTGATTTATACGTAGTACAACGCAGTTGCGACAACGCAACGCCCGTGTAGCATCTCCCTAATTGTTTCAAGCACGAAATTGATACTTACGACCGTTTCCCCACCACGTATTACCTACAGACTTGAGTTTTGATCGGTGCTGGAACTAAGGTTAAATGACAACGCGATTTGACAGTTTCCAACGGGCTTGACGGACTTCGAGACTCCCATAGGTCATATATAGTGGGAAAACGGCCGTAACTACGGATTTCGTGCTTCGATAGTAGGGCTCTTAGTTTGTACGTTAGACAATTGACTAAATTTCATTATAAATATTATAAAATTTATTTATTAATTATATTATAAAATTCATTATAGCATGGTTACAAAAAATTACTTCCATTCCGTTATAAATAGAATAAATTAATTATTTATTTATAATGCTCCAGGTGCAACTGAAGGCTTAGACTCGTGTCATAATTTCTATAGTTTGTCCGCTACAGAAATTATGTCTTAAGGTAAAGCACCTTAAATCTATAATTTGCAATTAAGATGTTTTTACAAACATTGCTTAAGAATGACTGAAACCACGCAATGATAAAACACATTAAGTCCTGTCGTCGTTTGTTTTTTTAATTTAACTATTATATTAAGATTCATTTTTAATGCCTAATTAAAAGCCGTATTCTCTTTAACCTCACACAGCAAACAATGGGAAAAGCGTTAAACGCCCAATGTGCATTAAAACGTATCTATTATGTAATGTAACTTATTTGAATCATCCTCGACGCGTTATTCATTCAATTACAGTTCACAAGTTCATTTAAATAGTTAGTTTTTGTAAATTCATATATATACACACTGTTTTTGAACTATGTTTATGAAAAATACAAAGAGGAGACATATTTTAAAGTTTAATAATTCAATATAGATAATCAAATCCGGCTATTCTTGTTAAAATATATATGAATAAAAATTGATCTTGATAGTAGTAGGCCGACTTAAAATAAGAATAAAGACGTCACTTACTAATCATTACAATATCCTAACATTCACAATTCAGTCTCTTTTTGGCAAAATTTTATCTTCATTCACAATCAATCGATAAAACTATCGACAACAACTATATTACTATTGAAAATTTTATGATAACTGGCCACCCTACAAATGTCATTTTACTCCGTCTTCAAAAAAAGACAAACTATACACGGGGCCTAAGGAGTTTGAACGCTCTGTGTTAAAAAAATATTATTTGGCTCTCAAAGTCCGTTACGTCTTACCTACAAATTTATTATCAATTGTTACAGGTGGTGAAAATCATCAGATCCTCAGAAACGGCTGGAAGATACATTTCGTACAGATTAGTGTGCTAAGTTTAGATTTGTAGTTGAAATAAAAAAGAATATATTTTTTACGTAAGTTTTTATTGTCGATGACCGACGAAATACGTCATTAACGGTACCTATTATCATTTTGCAATACAAAAACATTAATTTACAGTTACACCAATAATAACAGGCGGGGTCATATGGTCAGGTAGAAATAGTTAAACTTGACTGTAATCGAGTTAAGCCTCGTTTAGAATTATTACAGTGATTACTATAGTTGTAATTGACAACACAAACCACTTCCGTTATCTACGGATTGCTAAACGCTAGAAAGGGTTCTTTCCTTTATGTTTAGCTCAGTTTATTATTAACCAATTATGTCCCATTGCTGGGCAAAGGTCTCCGCCAAAATCCTCCATTGCTCCATGTCTTTGGTGATCTCCCACCACTCCCTGTCAAACCCATCAATATCGTCCCGCCAACGCCTTCTCGGCCGTTTCCGCCGACTCTTGTATATTTTGAAAATTGAAAAAAAAATTACATTTACCTCGACAGTGGCCTGTTATTTTTTTATTTGGAATAATCTAAACTAGTCTAAAAAAGAGAACGGTATACTCACAGAAATCTTAATAATATTTATTTACATTTCTGTGGTTGAACTAAATAAATGGGTGATTTGTTAATTTTCTCTATCAAATTTTGGTAGCAATTTTTATAATTTAAGTATTCGAATATATAATCGTGAAATATTAAATAATATTTCAGGATAGTACATACATACACTCGAATATTATTAGTTTATTACTTATACAATGTGTTGATTTGCTTTCTCGCCATTTTTACAGAGGTCGTTCTATATCCGAAACTGAACCCAAATCAGTAAAAAAATAAATCGAAAAAATTTCCTTGTTTTTGCGGTAACCATGCTTGATCCCAAGGTTGACTTGCACTACACGTGTCACAGGTATCGGCAACCATTTGAACAAAGACCTATGCACAGAAAATATGCATTTTAGATCTATTTGGTTGTAGGTTACGGGTAGGGACGGGGACAGTATCGTATCGAGCGCGTGATTGGCAGATCATCAGTCGATCTTGCGTATAGCGTCTACGTTCCGCTGACATCGTGCATACGTTCTAGTTTCTCACGAAATGCTAGGTGGTTTGGTATGTAAACAAGAGTTAATGTAAAAAATACCACTACCAGGCTCACCAGGTGCGTCAAGGGAGTTGTTATGGCATGATGTAAAACGTGTAGTTTACGCAGATTACGAGTGTCGAAGAATTGTGCGCAAAAATCGTCTCTGCTTTCTTTCTGCTTTTTCTGTTGTGAAGAATGTGCTAAGTTGAAACGAGACGAACTAGGTACTTCTAGCAATACTTTCATGTAACCAAAAGTTGGTAAGTACCAAATCTAAGTTACAAAATATCTTTTTTCAATCAACTTTTCTAACTAATATAAAAATTTAGTAAATTATAACAATACTAGTACATAAACATAACTTAAAAAATAAGTAAATAAGCGATCGAGAAAGATTACGTATCGCTCGGTGAAGCGAGTGGCGGGGTCATTGTCCTCCGCGGTGAATACACTTGGGGACAATTTTACAAAACTTTACTAGATACAATTAGCCAGAATATTGAACAGAATATTTTTTTTTGTATTTTTAGATGATTTAGCTTTATTTCTATTATTAATTTCTTAAATATGGCGAGAATGCAAATCAACGCACTGTATAATAGTAATACTTTACGATAATATTTAAATTATAGAATATTTGAATAATAAAAATTGCCACCGAAATTTGACAGAGAAAACTATCCTGAAAATTACCCAAATACCACTGAACACTCGGTTGGTGTAAACACATTTACTAAACACTAAGGCAATGTAAACCAGTCTCACCGTTGAATGGATATTACTGTTAAGTTTCTTAACGGAAGGAAACTAATCGAACGTGTATTGTTAACGTTCCCACTTCCTTCTTCAGTCCATTAGCCATTTTAAATATACGCGTCTTTACGTAGTGTCTATGTATACGGGGTTATTTGTAGAATATTAATAACCTCGCAGGACTGTACTGCTAACACCACAAACAACAATTTTTGTCCCATGACGTTTCACAAAACATTGATGTACAGTCAAGAGCACGTCAAGCTTGACACTTTGGACCGTTCTTATCGTAAGCGGCATAGAATTGGATTTAAATCTTAAGTGTCAAGCTTGACGTGCTTGTCATAGGTCAATGGCTTGACTCTACTATCTGACACTTTTATATCTATATTTGGTAGGATTTAATATGTAAGGTAAGGTTGTAAACTTTTACTGCCTCAGTGGCCGAACGGTTACCATGCTGGACTGCGACGCGGAGGTCCCAGGTTCGATTCCAGGGTCGGCAGAAATATTTTTTTATGGCCTACATTTATTTATCTAGTGTAATTTGTGGTTGTCTATATGTGTGTCCATGGCACTCGCGACACAGGGTTTCCCTAGTGTGGGGCTATGTTGAGTGTGTGGGTTGTTATTATTATTATTATTATTATTATTATATGTAAGCGTTCTCTCCGACAACCCCCACTCCCGCTCCTGCATTGTGCATCGGACTGGTACGTTACCACACAGAATTATCACCGTTTAGAGCGATCTGTTTAACAGTGATCTGTTTACCTGAAAATCACTGTTAAATATTTTCATATTTTATTACGAAAATATTTTTTATGATACCAATGATGATTGGACAAACAAGTCGAGCGCGCGGTGGTAAGCGATACGCCTGTCCATACTAGTTGCAGTGCCACTTAGTGTTTTAAATCACAAAGATCTGAGGGGTACTGCTACTGCGCCGGTCACCCTGAGACATAAGTTGACAAGTCCATGTGTCTGTATTCACCAGCACCTCTTTACCCTTCAAAGAAACACAGTAATAATGCTCACATTACTGCGGGGTGGCGGAAATAAAGTTAAGATAGCATACTTATATTCGTAGCAGTAGAGCTCCTTGTGAAAGAGTTCTTCCAGGGAAGTACTGCCACCTTACCTATTTCTGCCGCCAAGCAATGATGTTCGCATTACTGTGTTCCGGTTTTGAAGAGTAAGGGTGCTGGTGAAATTACAGGCATCTGAAATTTGTTAACTTATGTCTCAGGGTGACGGGCGCAGAGACAGTGCCCCCCAGATGTTTGCGATTTAATGCTCTGAGTGGCACTGTAACTGTTATGGACAGGCGTGTAGCTTACCACCAGGCGCACAACTTGTTGGTCCCGCCACTTTATATTATAAAAAAAACAAAAAGAACCCTACTAGTATTGGGGTAATTAAATAATATTGTTTTTAATTCCACACAATTGTTGTAATTCCTTACTATAGTGGCGAATTTGTAGCAGACCTCCGAAGCCATTAAAATTACACTCTCTCTGAACATTAACAAGGTGCTATAAAATTTCAAGGCTTGTTCGACCACGATATATAGCGCTTTACTACATGCATGTACCTAATGGCTGGAAGGTAGATTTTCACATTAATTAATGTTTAACCTCCAACGTAAAAAGAGAGGAGTTAAGTTGGAAGCCTAGGATAGTTCTGTGTGTATTTGTGTGTCTGTCTCTGGCATTGTAGCTCCTAAACGAATTGACTGAACTCAAAACGGTTTTTTTTATTTGAATGTTTAAGGCTCAATTTACATTGCGGCGGAACGGAATGGAAGCGTCACTTTCGCCTTGCTGCGCGAGATGGCGCGCGCGGTCTTGAGGCTGTAGTATTTCGTTGACGTTTGACATCACACTGCGCCTGCGTTCGCGGCACTTCCCGTGGATACGCCAGGCGTCGCTGACGGCAGCTGCGAAATGCGCGAGCATTCTCGCGCGACGTGATTTTTGGCTTGTGTCTACGTTACACAATTGACCATAAAGTTCATTAAGCTATGTGCAATATCTTTACAAAAATTGGCTTCCTTTCCGTTCCGCCGCAATATAAATTGAGCCTAATCGGGATGGTTCTTAGTTTTTTTATAATACGAAGTGATAGGGCGAACAAGTCGTGTGTCTGACGGTAGGCGACACGCGCCTGTCCTTAGCAACTGTAGTGCCAGTTAGAGTTTTTAAATGGCAAAGATTTAAGGGGCACTGTGTTCGTCCCGCTGAGGCATAAATCGACAAGTCAAACGTGCCTGTAATTTCACCAGCACTATTACTTACCTTTCAAAACCGGAACACAATAACGCTCACGTTACTACTTGGCGGCAGAAATAGGTGTGGTAGCCGCACTTCCCTGAACGAACTCTTTCACAAAGAGCTCTACTGCTTCTGAAATCATCTACTCAGCAGTGCACCGCATCGTGCCTACTCGTCAGCACCAACACCATATTAGCGTCCGCTGCTGCGGTATCCTTAAGCGCGATGGCGTCAGTTATGCCATAATAGCGTCACATTATATCGACGTATAGGCTTCATCACGAAGTTTTCCTTCATCGTTGAGATATTACCAATAAATATTCACAAACGTACATGTGATGTCACAGGGATTCGAGCCGTCGTCAATCACTCCGTGGATGCCCGAGGATGGAAAGAGACGGCGTGGACAGCCGAGAAGGCGTTGGCGGGACGATCTTGATGGGTTTGAGAGGGAGTGGTGGGAGATCACCAAAGACAGGGAGTAATGGAGGATTTTGGGAAGACCTTTTCCTAGCAATGGGGCATAATAGGTTATTAAAAAAAATTACTACAAAATGCTTCTGTATTCTAAGCAGAAAAAACCGGACAAAATCTGAACAGAAGGTTAAAAAGACCCGAACGGATGGCAACCCTATATGGCGGATTTTTAAAATTTCAATTGTAAGTATAATGATGCCTATAGGCAAGTATTAGCATAAATCAATTCAAGTTCCAAATTTCAATCTTTGCCAAAATCGTTATTTTGTTGGAGTGCTAAACTTTTTTGATTTAACCTTAATGTTGGTCGATTTGTAGGTACATACAACATTCTTTTTAAAGAATAGAAATGTAAATTCTTCAGTATAAAAATAACAACATTGAATTAAGTATATATCCACCTGCCACCGTTAGTCTCACCGTAAGATCGCAATTAAAAACCATCCCATACAAGAACGTAATGCTAAAACTTTCGTAAAATACCATAATAATCGTCATATGTAACGGACGCACGCGATTCAATGAACACCTCCGTACTCACACTGCGTGTGCGCTCAGTTGTAAGTGCACGTCGCGAGATAACGAAAGGCGCCAATCATGAGCCGGCTACCGGTTTTATTATCATTCTAAATGTAACTCGAGCGCGAAAAATGTAATTTAAATTCCATAAACAACAGGGACCAAACAACCAATTAAAACTGAAGCCTGTAAAAGCGTTCGTAATACAAATAATCGGCGAAAATAAAATTTGAAGTGCGATTTGGCGAATTTGGTATGCGCTAGAGATGAAAGACATTATCTAATGACATGTCGGAAGTGATCTGAATTTTTATTGGTTTCACATATTAGTGAGTTTTGGAACTGATTGATAATTTTAATTTGGGATTCAAAAAGCGCTTTGGAGAACGACTTAGTGGTAAGTAACCTGTCTTTTTTTTACAAATTACATTGCAAGGGGTCTTAGGTTATAACCTTAAAACTTTAAAGAGCTTAATATGGCAGAAATGATGGTATTTAATTGATTTAAAAAATAAAAAAAAAAAACAAATAAAAAGCTTACATATATATACATATTCGTCACACCTGTCAAAATATGAAAATACCGAACTAAAATGATGGCGCCATTAGGTCAATGGAGCCATTATAAAGATTTTTTCCTATGATTCTTATTTCACTGTTGTCAATATAATCATTTTAAATTTCGTTTTATTCTGGCTTTAGCTATACAATTTTGTTTCATAATTCACGCTAAATGAAACTTGAAATTATCTAAATGTAGAACATAACATGAGCCTTCGAATTATATTCTTCAGCAGATTTCGGAAAATTTCCCAACTGTAACTTAACCCAAGGTCTTGAACGTTTAGTGGATGCTAATTTCAAAGTAATCTATTATGACAAACGTATTTGTTATTGCTTTAGAGTTTTATGCAATAATCGCCTTTTTAATGCCTTCATTACACCTCATAAGCGTTACTATAACAGTTATTCGTAGTTAGGTACGTAAGTATTTACTGATTTCATGCGCCGGAGTAGTCATTGACTCATAATTCGCAGAAATTACGTGTAAATATGAATAGTAACGATGTTTCACAATTCTTTACTAAACCTGGCTGTAATCTGTTATACAGGATTATTTGTAAAATACTCGCAGGACTATATTGCTAACATCATAAACAACAACTTTTGTTTATGACTTTTTACAAAACGTAATAAATTTACCAAAAATAAACTTCAACTTTTTGTTATACGTGGGCCGCACATAAGTTTCCGGAATGAATAAGAAAAAATACTATAAATGGTCAGAAATGAATTAATTGTTACTCAAAATATTATCCGTCAACGTTAATGCACTTTTTCAAAAGAATGACCCAATTTTGAAAACATTTATGCCACGCCTCCGTGACAATCTCTGAAACATATTTTTCATACTTTTCGAAAGCCTCTTCAGGTGATGAAAATCGTTGACCGCGTAACTTGTTCTTAATTTTTGGAAATAAATAAAAGTCACAAGGTGACAGGTCGGGACTGTACGCAGGATGGCTCATAAGGTCAACGTTGTTCACCTACAAAAAATCATTTGTCTGTCTGGCCATGTGAGAACTGGCATTATCGTGGTGCAAGATGATACGGCATTTACGGTTATTTTTACGGAGTTTGTCAATAACTTCCGGCAAACAAATAGTCGTGTACCAATCACTTTTCACGGTACAACGATTCTCCAAAGCAACAATAGCCACGTGTCCAGTTTTATTAAAAAAAAAAGCAGTCGTCCGCTTAGAGGCACTTTGCACACGCGCCACTTTGGTTGGTTTCGGCTCATCTCGAAGAAGAAAGATAGCTGCTTTGTTTTGGGATCGTAATTATAAATCCATGTTTCGTCACCTGTTACTATGTCCCACGCCAAATTCGACGCCCCTTCGTTGAATCTGGTAAGCATGACGTTGCACCTAGTGACGCGATCCGTTTTTTGAGCCTTAGTTAAATTGTGTGGGATCCATCGAGAGCACAGGTTTTTCACACCTAAATGTTTGTGTAGTATTGATTGTATTTGACTCATGCCTATACCTAAAGATGCTCGAATCTCAAGGTATGTCACATGCCTGTCTGTTTTGATCGCCGTACGATCAAAACAGACAGGCATGCATCGATGTTTTTGTTGTTCACAGCAGTGGACGAGCGGCCATCACTGAGATTCGTCATTGAGATTCACACGACCGCGTTTGTATTCTACAAACCAGCTATAAATAATCGTCTTGATTGGTACTTCATCGCCAAAGCAGTTTGAAGCCGAGAGAAGCTCCGCTGAGCTGTTAAATGTCACTTAAAATCGTAGAAAATCATACTACGAAAATTTTCGCGAGTTAAATCCATGGTGATGTAGACAACCAATTTCTAAAATGACGCCACAATGTTAAAATAAGTGATAATTAGATGAAACAAACTGTATTCTACAGCCAAAGAGTTTCATTTTCAAATGTTCTAATTACTTTTTAAACATTGTTTATGTAAGTGGCCAGTTCCGGAAACTTATAGTGCGCCCTATGTACACCCCGCTCCTGCATTTTGCACCTAACTGATAAATAAGAAAGATAATTTTATTTATTTACTGAAATTTCTTGTGAAGTATCTCCACTTTGTTATGATGATGGATATAGAAAAAAATTCTGTGTGCAAAGAAAAGCACATAGGAGAATTTGGACGACTCGGTAACTGGACCCGTGGCTCAGATGGTTAGAGCAATGCTACGGTGCAGCATGGACGTGGGTATAAATCCCACCGGGTCGACGATATTATTCTGTGTGTTCGTTCTTTGTATTCATAATCATAAAATTTTGGTGAAATTAGAGGCACATGGGACTTGTCAACTTATGTCTCAGGATGACGGACGCACTGGCAGTGCCCCTCAAATCTTTGCGATTTAAAGCTCTGAGTGGCACTGCAACTTACCATCAGGCGCACGCCTTATTCGTCCCGTCACTTGATATTATAGAAAAATAATATTTTTTTATAAGACATGTTGTATTTTAATAATATACCGTAACAATGTAAACAGCGTCAAAGTCATTATTGATATATTATATATCGTTTCGGTATTTTGAATAAAATAGAAAAGTTAAATTTCACTTTCACTTTGATAGGTTAAAATGATGATTTGTGTTTTAGAATGTGGAAATATTTGAAAAGTATGTTATTTTCGATTTTGACTTCGTGTCATATTCGTGTTTATTATAATTGACTAGTATAGTTTTTGTATTATGCAGTTGATTATGGTCAGAAATCAGTGGGACATGAATTGACCTACTGATTTCATACCTATAATTTTACAAATTTTTTTGCAATTCGATTTCTTTTTTATACGTTTATATTTTTGAAAATTTTGCCTCACGTTAATTGGGATACAATTTCAGTGTACAATATCGAAAGTTTATTTACTTTAGTAGCTGTAGAGCTCTTGTGAAAGAGTTCGTCCAGTGAAGTACTGCTACCTTACCTATTTCCGCCGTCAAGCAGTATTGTGAGCATTTCTTCGTTCTAGTTTTGAAAGGTGAAGCTGCTAGTAAAATTACAGGCCCGCGGGACTAGTCAACTTGTTTTAGGTTGTCGGCCGCAGTAGCAGTGCTCTTCAGATCTTTCATCTAAATCTCTGAGTGGTTAAGCAACTGTTATGGACAGGCGTGTTGCTTACCACCAGGTGCACGACTTGTTCCTCCAGTCACTTGGTATCATATAAAAAAAAAACATTCATTTACAAAATATAGGGCACTTTGTCTGACTACCTAACTAACTAACGTTCGTCGGTCTACCTGCATATCGTTGGTTTATTTGGTTAGTTGTAATATACATTATATTTGTATAACTTTAACGTAGAAAGTGGATTGAAGTGCCACCCTGTGTATTAGATTTCAGCTTGGTGGCCAATCCTTCAACAGACGGAGCAATTGCGTCTAATCAAATTAGATTTATCCACTGCCGAGGTGACATAACAATAACACATATTAATTACTTTAATACGCAGTAAATTAACGGTTAAATCATCTAGTTTTCAGTAAGAAGTAAGTACAAAAATACGTTGACGATAATGTTACGTCAATAAAAAAGAGTCAATAAAAAATAGATTGTATGTATTTATGTAACGAACCATTTTCCGCAACTCGACGTCATAGCGCTTATGTTTCGTCAACTTTTTATTTAACCTGTAATAGATATAACCATAACCTCCTAAGTATGTACATCGAATATAATATTTAAGCGACCTCTAAATGGAATGGAATTACATTTATTTGCCAAGTTTTATTAAAATCGTTTACCGAAAATTGCGCGTAACCGTGTTCATCCCCTAGTTTGCCATCCTAAGAGGTAGAATATTTTTCTTGAAATTGAAATGGGACCACTACTGAGATACCCTCTTTCCACCAAAAAAAGATTCATCAAAATCGGTTCACAAATGAGTTATCGAGTATAACAAACATGAAAAAAATTAGCCAATTGAGAACCTCCTTCTTTAGAAGTCTGTTAATAAGACTAAATGTAGTCAAAGATCATTGATAAAAACTATAATCATTATTATTTCTATATAATCAATAAAAAAGTGATGTTTATAGTTTCTGGCCGATCTCACCCCGCATGTGGGGGTCAAGACTCGTATCAACTACCATTAGAAATCTTTATTACCCAGCAATCGATAGATATGGAGGTGACTTACTCCTGAACACTTTCATAAAATTTTACGACAGTATAGACCTTGAAGGTTACTCAAATCATGGTTTAGAAAGGGGGTACACCTAAAAGGTCGTATTTTACTGGACAGTGTGCACTTGACTTTTATATGCCCATTTCTAAGTTAGTTTAGGTGGTAGCTTATAAATTAAGTTTTGTCTCAAGTGGTCGTTTATCTACATACCTACTTTGGCATGATTTATACGGTAGTAAACACGGTTCTAACTCAACTATTGTGAATTTTATAAGATAGTAGGTAGTTATATTGCAAAATCTTATTTTAGAATTGTCTTAAGATGTGTCATATAGACACTATAAACACTAGCAATGTATAAACCAAAAAATGAAATTTAGTTTTCGGATCTAAATAAATAAATAAATATTAGACAACGTTACGTACGTTGCTCTGACCCCAAAGTAAGTAGCTAAAGCACTTGTGTTATGGAAATCATACACACAGTACCACAAATACCCAGACCCGAGACAATATAGTTAAACCGATGTGCAAGCCACTTGACCACGGAGATCGTTAAATCGTGTACTGTATATTTGTTTTTTGAAACAAAACATTCTGGGTCCGTTACGGGTCCCATGGTAGCGGATGACTGATAGACACGGCCATGGGACCTGTAAATGGCCCGAAACCTTGGTTTGTTTGAAAAAACAAATATACGCGCTTTAGATCGTAATAAATAG